TAACAAAAAATACACAATATTACCAACTTTGTCCTTAAAAGTGAAAGTGAAATCTAACTGTCCTTTACTTTATGAAACATCCAGTGTCACACCCTTTGCCAGTTTACACTTGGTGCTATTGTGTGGAAACCATCACATGTGCAGCAGCCAACTGATGCATTTTTTCTTTTCAGGCACTGCTTGTTCAGGGTTACCTTGCAAAATCCGGCTGGGGATTTCCAAAGGGCAAAGTCAATGAGGATGAAGCTCCTTATGATTGTGCAGTCCGTGAAGTGAGTCACACAGCTCTTTAGTGTTTACTTTTGACCAAGTTAAAACAGTATGAACCCTGTATTAGTGATGCTTTTCATTCATAGTTTGGTAATTCATAGTTTAAAATACTATTTGCTTTCCAGGTGATGGAGGAGACAGGCTTTGACATCAAGAATCGGATCTGCAAAGACATGTACATTGAGCAGAAAATCACCGACCAGCTGGTGCGGCTCTATATCATACCAGGAGTATCCAAGAACACAAAGTTCAACCCCAAAACAAGGAAAGAGATCAGGGTAGGAGTTCCTCTCTTTATACATTTGGTCTCCAGCTATGTGTAGCTGACACAAATATTTCATGACTTTGTTCTGCTCTTCTTTTAGAACATTGAATGGTTTCCTATTGAGAAGCTGCCCTGTCACAGGAATGACATGACACCAAAGTCTAAACTTGGACTTGCCCCAAACAGGTTTTTTATGGCCATTCCATTCATAAGGTGTGTGCATAAAAGGTAGCATTTTATTATTTTCATTGCAGAATTATCCATTGATGCTTTTCTATTAAAGCAATCCAGCAATTTTTACTTTCTTTCTGAGTATTAGATGACCAAAAAATATCAATCTTGTGTGTCTAATAAGCACAGAGCTGGAATCAGGACCCTGACATATCATTAAAAACTCTCTGTTCAGCAATACCAACACATCTAATGCTACTAAGTAAAATGTTGCAATTCATTGCTTTCATCCGTTCAAACAAAACCAGAAAAATAATGTGTGATTGAAATGTTTTCATGTGAAAATGTGATCTAATGTCATTAAAGCAACAGACCAGTACTGATGACCTCATTCTGCTTCACCTTTCCAGACCACTGAGAGAATGGATTAGCCGGCTGAGAGGAGAGTCAACAGACAGTGATGAGGACTTGGCAAACAACAGCAACAGTCCATCTAAACCTTCAGACAATGTTCGGTAAAAACACTTCTCAAGCCACAGCTAATTTTTCTGTGAAGGCCAAACCCACAGACAGTCAATCAATACCGTCCCTGCAGTTTCCCGCAGCTCTACAGAACATTTTATCTTCTGTGTGCTCACAATAAATATAGTAAAAAAGCTATTCCTATGCAGTATACAATAGCACTGAGTGAACTCAGGTACAATATCACTTAAAAGCCAAATGATTCTGAACTGTGTCACTTCTAAATATTTGCACTATTTCTAAGTTAAGTAGTCAACTATTACTTCATATAAACAATTAAAAAACTATTCCTTTTGAAAGCCTATACTGTAGAGCTGGACGATTATGGCAAAAAATAATAATCACGATTATTTTGATTGATATTGAAATCACGATTAATAAACTCGCTTATTCATTTATTTGAAAACACCAGTATTTATTTAACCACCAAAACTCAACTTTAAATATAACTTCAACGAACAAACAGATATAGATTAGTAACAACAACAAATTAAAATAGCAATATGTAAAAACAAGAAATTAAAATAAATCAATGGCCTACTTCCAAACTTCCAGAACTTGCAACATGCAAAAAACACGACTAACAGAGCCAAAAAAACAAGCCCCAAAATATTCTGTGGAGGTTTTTCAGTGGCCACATAGTCCTATACACCCTCAGCTCAGCCTCCTGCTATCTGCCTCCTACAAACTCTAGTTTTTGGCTGGAACACCAGACTGTTCACTTGGTCTGGCTTTAGTGATGATTGCAGGCGGGAGACAACATTTCCACCTGAGCTAAACACCTGCTCTGATGCAGCACTTGTGGCGGGGATGCGCAGGTATTGTGGATAGAGTGACTGTGTTTGCGGTGCTGGCTGAAGCCGACCAGCTTGCACTTGTCTGCATCTTCTGCTCCATTAGCTGTTGGTCATCCACCAGTTTATGATGAAGCTTGAAGTATTAATTAGTTGTGTTGCCGTGGGGTGCAGACACGACAGCGTGACAAATTTTGTAAACAATTTCCTTCTGCTGCACATCCGAGAACTTGAAATGTTTCCATATCTGTGATGATCTTTGCCCTTTCTTGTCAACTGCCTTTTTGTGCATTTTTCTCAATCGGCACTTACGCATAAGACAGGTGCGTTCAAGGTGCTCAGGAATTTGCCTGCACGCCGCAGAACACTGATCGTTTATCTTCGATTATAATGTTTTCGGGATTGAGAGAAACTGAAATCGTAATTGAAATTTGATTAATTGTCCAGCCCTACTATATAGAAAATACAGGCTCCAATATAGTAACTTAATGCAACAACAGTGTACAAGTGTGTGGTCACTGACACAATATTGAAAGCACCTGTGGTTACCGATTAACCGAATTGCATGAACATGGTAATAAAATGACCGGTGAGCACCACCTTTCTCAGTTGTGGACCTATTTGCTGGGTATATCTGTATGTCTACGCCATGGCGCCATGTGGAAAAGAATTTACCAGAGAAATGAAAAATGTGACTGTGAGACTTCTGAGACGGAAAAAGATACAGGATGATCTGTGACCAGCTAAAAATCAGTTAAAACATAGATGTAGCAGTAATCACATGGTATAAAATGACCCACAGTGCTTTATAGGGCTGGACCCGAATACCCAAATATTAGGTCGTTGTGCTGGTATCCGGATAGCGATTTTGATATCTGAATATTCAGCTGCCGCCACCTGGAATCTTTCTGAGTGGAGTTTGCAAGTTCTCCCTGTGCAGCGTGGGTTCTTTCCGGGTTCTCCGGCATCCTCCCACAGTCCAAAAACATGCTGAGGTTAATTGGTGATTCTAAATTGTCCATAGGTGTGATTGTGAGTGTGCTTGGTTGTCTGTCTCTAAGTGTGGCCCTGTGACAGACTGGCGACCTGTCCAGGGTGTCACCTGCCTTCACCCTGAGTCAGCTGGGATAGGCTCCAGCCCCCTAGCGATCCTAGTGAGGATTAAGCGGTGTATAGATAATGGATGGATGTACTATATTTTATAGAGCATACTGTGGTATTTAGTACTCTTAGAGCACTCGTGTTACTTACTCAGCTCAAGCACATCATGAGCTTCAGTGTGTCTTTTTTTTATTTGCACTGAATGGACCATCAAATGTGTCATTTAAACAGGTCTGTTGTCACACAGAGACAGGGCACCGGCTTGCAACTATTTTAGGTGCTGGTGCTTTGGGTTTCACAGCTCCAGCTCTCTAAACACAGGGATGATAAAGTTACACAAGCAATTCATATACATACTGAAGTGATTCACCATCTTCACAATCACTGTTTTCCTCACACCATCCTCCCTGTGCAGTATAATTTATCCACTTTGTGTTTTTCTTCCATCTTTCAGGTCAAAATCACGCCACCTCACAGGAACTGATGTATTCTCTGGAGAGAGCTGGACAAAACACAAGCAGCAGAAGACTCTGGGCCAGTATGAACTGAACCAGGTTAGGAAAAATACAGACTCTACTCTTTTATAGTTGATCGTTATACAACTGCAGCATGTTATATTTACGATGCAATAACAATTAGGATATGTAACAGTTGACTGGGGGTAACATTCTGAATGAAAAATTCTTTAAGAGGGGTGGAGTCATGTTGATGTTTGTACCATTTCTTTGTACCAATCTATGGAGCAGTGTACCATAACTTGAGAAATAATGCAGCTACAGCCCTGAAATGTTGCATGCTCATTGATATGTACACACGGTGTTCAATGGTACAAGCCTGCTTTGATAGAACAATACAAACCAGTTATATGATGGTGTAAATTTGGCCAAAAAATGTTCATGTTGTTTACTATTCTAGTATTCCACCAACCATAAAACCTCAATTTTTTACTCTAAGAGGTGGGTTAGAATCTTTCAGTGGCTTGACACAAAGTTGGTCCAACCACTGTTTATCACAGTTTAATCATGCTGTCTGCTCTTTGCTCTGTAGAAACCGAATTTGAAAGGCAACGGGAAGAAAGGCCAGGACTCACCTTACTTGAGGAAAGGAGCCAGTGACAGCAACCAGCAGGTGAATACCGTATTAACAAGTCAAAGAACATATTTGTTTCAGTTTTCTGGGGTTTTTTTCAGCAAAGAATGATAACATATTAAATGTTGACAAAACTTTGGAAAAAAGTGGAAAACTTAAACCTCAGTGCCTCATCACCAGTCAGAAAGTAAAATAGCATTCCTGAACCAGACAGTTTTTGACAGTGAATCTCAGACCTGTTTTGAAGTGTTGAAATTCTGCCTTTATTGGATATGTAGAATCTGAAAATGTTTGACTTTGGCTCTTCACTGGATTGTTTAATTACAAGCTGTGTACTCTTAAACTATTTCTACAGAGAGAAGATACAAGGCTTCAACCCAGAGGACTACAAGACAGTTTTGAGAGAGGTATGGCTTATACAGGGACCCTGTTACCCGCAAGCTCACTTCACTAAATAATAGTAAAATGCTTTACAGGTTGTTAGTTCAATCCATTTGTTGAAAATTAAACCTGCTGGTGTATGTGAAGCAGGGTGTAACATTGTTAATAATGGATGAGTTACAATTAAAAACTTGTAACTATGATCTGATACAGAGCCAGAGGCAGTAATTCCAGAGAAGACTTTATTTCCATTGACAATTAAAATGTTCTGCTCACAGAAAACAGCCCATGTTCATTCCTTTAAAACTAATCTGAGGTCACTCACTCACCTGTTTGAGTTGCTGCACTGCAGTAACTGATTACAGACGAGAGAGAGACTTTTCTGTGCACATAAATAATCAGGATCTCAATACTGATCCAAAATAATCAAGACTATCATTTTAGTCATAATTGTGCAGCCCTAATTACTTGTATGGAAAAAGTGTGGCTACAAAAAGTATTATGTTGATGATAAACAGATACTCAGCAGTGTCTTGCATGTTTGCCACCACACAAGACAACGCAACTCATTTGTGGGACCATTTAAATCAGGAACGCAAAGCTCTGCATGACAAGTGCAAAGCCAGATCTGAATGAAATTTTTAACATGCTTCCTTTTTTTTCCATTGCAAATGCGGTCCCCTACAAAATCACCCTAATTATCCTGAAATGATTAATTATTTCCAAGTAGTTACTCAAGTCATTTGGTGAAAATTCCAGATTGTTTTGATTTTGCAATGTGTCGTGGAAAAGCAAACCATCACAATGTCAGTTTTTTGCCGTTATCGTGCAACTCTAGCAAACAGGTTGTATAAAATAGGACGTAGTTTAGTTTCAGACTTTTAAGATTAAAGCCTAAATGAACCTTGTCGACAAATAAAACATGACAATGAGCTTTTCTTTTCACAGATGTGGCTCCAGACAGCTTCAACAGTCATCGAATGGTTGACAGCAGAGACTGTGACCACTTGCTGTCCTCCAAGGCTTTCCTAAATTTCAAATTTGACAGAGATGCCATCATGAAATGTTTTGACTACTAACTGGTTGACGATGCTCTGTGCCTCCCCTGTAACAACATCAAACCTTGATCTCTATTTTATCTTACAGTCCAAGCAAGAATGTTACTGAAGATGCGCTTTCGCTTCATTTGTTTGTCAGGAACTTACATTACCAAGAGAAGTTGCCCATCTGTTATTGACCATGTAGAGTATGCTTTGCTGTAGTTTGCCTTTGTTGCACAACTTTTCAGACCCTTTAGAACGGCGAGTAAGTTAACAGCAGTGTCTTCACTCTGTCCATAGCAGAATCCTAACTTTACTTTTGAAAAGTTTCAGGCTGCATGAGAAACATTTAGACCAAAAGAAGATGCCTCAGGTTAACCATTAGTCTTTTAAAGGCAACATATCAAAACCTTTGTCAACATAATGGATTTTAAGCACATTTACAGTGACAATGAAAAGTAGAAAAAATAAAATAAAATAAATGCTGTTGTAGCTGAGGAAATTTAGTCAAAATCAATGTTGAATTTGTCATTTTATATATTGATTTTAAGATGCAATCATTTAGATGATAATTTCCTTAATTCTTTCAATTGAGTCATGTAAATTTTTTGGGTGTTGAGTAAATATTGGTTTTAACAGTGGTGCTGGCTTTGTTAATCTACAGGGTTACTTAGTTACCTTTGCCAACATTACTCAAGATTTTATCCACGAATGTAGAATGTAATAACGTACATAATATTATAATGATATTATGTAATATTGAAAGGAAGAACAAGATGTCTTTGCAGCTTTATCCTTGAAAATTGCATGTCGTTAAATTCATGTTACTTTGTTGTATGAGGTCTGTGATTGACAACATTAAAATTAAGTTCATAAAATCAAATTGATGTGTGAACATCCAGAATTCTGGACAGGAAAATTAAAAATTAAAATTCCATTCACAAATAGTTATTAGTTTACTAAACAAGCCCCCCAAAAGTGAAGAGTCATAAATTACAGAAAAACGAGCACTTCTTACTGTTTCATCAGAAGTTAATTAACTCAGGAGCAGACAGGAATAATGGGCAGTGGAGCTTTCATTTTCATGTTGTTAGTACTTGGGCATTTTCAATCCGATTTATGAAAGCTGTATTTTAAAAATGCTATTTTGTGTATGTGTCACACACAAAAGAAAATAAAATCTCAATTTGATTAGTTTAATTTTAATGTTTGTAGTAACAGACTTCCATAAACTCTGTTATTGCCTGCAAGACATCGACATCCCACTTATGTTTGTCCTTCTGGTTTTTAGCAGCTTGAAAAATCTAGTCTGGTCTTTCCTGCAAACAAACCATTTACAAGTTGAAATACTTGTTCAGATTTCTTAGACTAAAAGTTCACAGTCATTTTTTCATGACCTAATATTTAGCCGCTGTGGTGTCTGACTGACATTAAAACTGGGAGTCTTCAAGGCTTTGTTCTGTAATAAAAGGCCACTGATTACACTACTGTGAGCATAAAAGGTTATTCTCAAAGATGTTACAAATGATTCCCTTAAAAGGCCTCGTGAAGGGATTTCTAGCCATCAGAGCTGAAAACGTAAGTGAAGGCAATTACCATAGAATGAGTAACTGTTTCTGAGTAAGGGTAACAGTTTCTTAGTCGTGTGTCATAAACATTCATACATGTGTTGTTTGTCACCGGGGTTTTTTGTAACTGATTGTTATATAAGGGGCTCTTAAGTTGTGCTTTGGTTTCAATTATGTTTTGACTTCAAATGTGAATATTAATAAAGTTTGTTTTTCACTCTCAGCTGTGGACTTGTTCTACTACAACATAGACAGACAGACAGATAGATAAATAGATAGATGGAGCTTCTTCCTTTCTGAGTATCATTTCAGCCCATGTCGGTACAGGACTGGTTTCACTGTGGATAATGACACTCTCTAACCAGCTTCAGCAGCATCTTCACAATGTCTTCTGCTTTTGTTCTGGGACTGATACACACATTTTACACCAAAACACTTAATGTCTGGGACACAGAACCATCTCCTTCCTGAGTGGTATGATGGCTGACAATAATGACTCTTATTCTTTAAATGGCTGAACTTGTAAAAGTGCATCACAAAGAGTCTCCTCTGTTACATCTCTGTTGTGTTCTCAGCGTCTGCTGCCAACTTTCGGGAACTATTTTTTTTAAATATTAAAAAAAAAAAAAACTTAATTAAGAAAAACAATGCAGAATTTCACATCACACAAATACATGAAAGAGAGCACATAAATCAAAAGTCTTAATCCATTAAAAAAGACAAAAAGGGGTCCAGTGGAAGGAACGGAAATGACGCAACTCTGTTCTTCAAGGGCTCTGGCTGTGCTGGCTCCGCCCCCGGAAGTCAACCAGAGCTGTAACAGGAGCCGGTAGAGGGCAGTGCTACGGCGGGGTCACGTCCAGTAAAGAAGGAGCAGAAGAAGACGCTGAGGAAGGACCACAGACTGAACGCTCTGCTGTGAGTCTGTTCTCATCTTTAAAAGATTTCTCTTCTATTAGAGTTATGTGAAGAATTCCTGAGGACGGACGACTCTTTGCAGATAGGAGTTAGTTCATGTTTTGCTAAAGGGAACCACCCGGACAGGTGTCCCCCGCTCTGCCCCTCTGTGGGCTCCGTCCCCCTACTCAGGTGAATGTTACCGGCCGGTTCAGGGCACTTCTGAATCACTCCTCTCAGCACAAGTTCATCATACTTATGTCACGTTTGAGCACTTTAACTACTTTAGCACGACGTTTCTCTTACGCTTAGTTTAGTCACGTGTAGGTTTCGTTACCAGTGAAATGAAACACAGAAGCCACTTGTGAAGAGGTTTGTCATGTAGTTAGCTAACAACAACAACACGCCGTTAGAAGTAGCACACTGTTAGGCAGCGACTCAAAATGACTTCGATTTGACAATAATAGTGTGATATAACAATAGCTGTTGTCTCTAGCAGTTCTTGGAACTGTAACACAGAGACTGTTCAAGTCTCAAATCTACAGCACTGCCAGCGTTTGTGAGGTGCCAAACAACAACAGCTCGTTATTAAATCCCCAACTTTGTCTTGTCGTCCTCCGCTGGCTCACAGCCTCGTGTTGGCACCTGCTAATATTTAAGAAGTCTGGTAGGAAGAGCACAGTGCACTGATAATGGTTGGATCTGGCTGAAGAGTTACTGCACACTGGTTTTATGAAGACTTTACAGACAGTTCCTAGTGTCATCTTTAAATACATCTTTATATACAGTCGTCCTCAAGTGTATTCATACCCTTCCATTAAAGAAAAGGCAAAATTCACAATAGTCACTCAAAAACTAGAAACTGAAAAAAGTAATAAAAAATAAAAATTTGCTAAATTGTAATTTAGTGAAATAAGACATTGCTTTTGAATTGTGGTTGAAAAGAATAATTAAAAAAAAAAAAAAAAACTGTCTGTTGAACCACAATTCAAAAGCAATGTCATGACTTTCATTACATTTTTGTTCATTACTACTTTTGTCAATTTCAACTTATTTCAATGACAGCTGATTTTTTTTACTTCTTCATGGAAAGGTATGAATAAATTTGAGGACGACTATGCATTTTTTTTGATAACCCTTTGCTTGACTTAAAAGATAAAAAATGATAAATATTTTTTTGTTTTTATATTTGGCACATTGATTTCTGCTCCACAACCAGAGCTGAGAGCTGAAGGAAGCTGATATCTTCAGGTGGGATCCAACAGGACTCCTGTCACATGATCCTCATCTGTTAGTTGAAGGTGGAAGCAGCACAAAGGTCAGGCTGAGCAGTAGTCATCCTTCTGACTTCCTGAACCTTTGTTTAAAATAGGTTGTGGTGCATTCACCACAAGATCCACATTTCTAGGCTCTTTTCAACAATGTTGTCAATCACCACTGTGCAGAACTGAAACATGGATAAAAGAACAAGGATATGTAAACAAGCTCTGACAAAGTTTTCAGTGCTGACTTTACCTATTTTGTAAAAACATTTTTTTCAGACATATCTTTAACTGTTAGCTCTAATAAAGTATGGACTTTTCCCTGAATGCACATAGTGGTTTCTAAGTGTTCCACCTACTCTTTGTAGTTGATATTTGTGTTGTGGTTACAGTCGATAACATAAAATTGTTCAAATGTCCTGCAGTTACTTTGTTTGACATTTTATTACTTTCCAACAGATAAACTGTAAGAATTGAACACCTGTATGCATGTTTTGGCAACACTGTGATAAGATGAACTGTTGTGTTTCAGTGCATCATGTCGAATGCTGGTGCAGCCTCACGAAAACCAGCGAGGAGCCAGAAGACATCACCCCATGGTTCCAGCTTTAGCGGCATGAAAGAAATTCACATTGATGAAGAAGTAAAGATAGCAGTGAACATTTCTTTGGAAAATTTTCGCTATGGTGATCAGAAAGGTACAAACTGTTCTTTTTTTATATTGTAAATTGAAAGTCAGACACTTCTTTTGTTTTGTTATTGTCAAATTATTTGACAGAAGTATGCTGCTGTCATGTTCTCAATCGTCATCCTAGAGTTAGCAGAACGGTAGGATGGCTGAGTCTTTTAAGATGTATTAATATTTACCCTGTCCCTGACTGAACAGAGATGACATTTCCTTCCTCCTTGACCAGTACGGAGAGGGCTTTCATTCATCGAACGGCACAGTCGCTGGGCTACATTTCAAAAAGCAAAGGGTAAGTTCTTCCACCAGGACTTGTGCTCGTCAAGTATCTCAGAATCCTGCTGAGGAACTGGGCTGAATTTACAACTGAAACAGAAAATGAACTGAGTAATTTACAAAGTTCTGTACACTCATTCTCACAAAGGTTGTTCATTTACAGTAAAGTTGGATTTGTTGTTCTGTGTTCAAGGCTTATGGTAGCTTTGAAGCCTACGTATAGAGCATCTGTGTTAATAGCCTTTAGCTAGTATGGTACACATCATCATATTGTCTACCAGAAGGCAATTGCAACGTTGCTGTTTGTGTTATCTTGTACAACTGTCTGCTCTGTGTCAGTTGACCGCAAAGCCAACATTACCCTTATAACCTGAATTTATCCAAATTCACCTCCTGTCATATTGCTTGAGTTGCTCTGCTTTATTGGAGCGAGGTGTAGTGCATATCATATTAAACTGCACCACTTGACCTTTCCAGCAGAGTTAGTTGCTTGTTTGCGTCTATCTCCAAACCCATTACATTTGTTTGAACTACACCTCAGCTCATCGTTGCATAGATATCTTAACCTCTGTGCAACATTGTATTTGCACACACTGTAAAATTTTGCCTTGGTTTTGGTTTGTCACATCTGCAAGCAGGCTACTGTATATGAAGGCTTCAGTGAACCTCCGTGAAGATATGACATTTACTTCCATTAGTCACTAAGGTTTGGATATTGCTGATATCCAGGCAATCTCCTCTGCACATTGATGAAAACATATTGCTACTGTCAGCATTTCATGATGAGATACATGAAAAAACACAGCAATTTCATTTAGTGATAGAGGCAACGTGAACAAAGCAACTTACTGGTAGTAGTTTGATATTCAGCAGTGAAACAAGGTAAAATGGAAGTTACCTGATTTTTGTAATTAAAATGATACAACTGGATCATCTACGTTTCATAAATGTAGTGTTGCAGCAAAACCTCAACACTGAACTAGAAGTGCAAGATGCTACAAGAGGGTACAAGCATAGCCACATAATTCATACCTGAGGCAACATTAACTCAAGACGAGCACCTTGGGAGTTTTAAAAACCACAGTTTCACTAAGCAAAATACAGTCAAGAAGCCAGGATTATTGTCCAATGGTTTGTTTGTTTGTGTATTTATTGATTGATTGATTGATTTGTTGATTTATTGATTGATTGCCTAGATTATTGAGAACGTTTAGGGGTCCAGAAAAGAGGGTTCTACTATGCTAAACACATTAAATTTGCATGTTTGTCATATGTAGGTACCAAAAAACTAAAAAAAATACTTTGATATAGTCTCAGGAGATATGTCACTGCACTGTCTCAGATTATGTTCAGAGTTTGCTTATTTGTTATTTGAGACTTAAAACTAAGTCTGTCTGTTCTATCCCCCCAAAGACATCTTACCTCGAAAACAGTTTTAAGGGTTTAATATCTCTACAAATCACTCCCTAGCCATGAAATTCAGTGACACAGACAAAATAGTTTCTCACAGATCCAATGGGGGAATTGTCTCCAGCCGCATTTTTAATTATTGCCCCCTAAATAAGGAATAACCAACATCCCGCCAGAACGCATGACCTGCACCAAGATACAGTTTTACCACCATTACTGTATGCAGCTTTACCGCAAATGTAAGAGTTTTAAAAACAGCGGCTCAAACAAGTTTAGGTATGTTACTGAAAAGAAATAATGTTATTTTTCTCTTTCAGAAAGGGACACAATCGCTGCCTCACTGTCAGGAAGAAGGATGGGTCAGATAAACCTCACCTTAACATATCCCTCCCACTCTCCCAACACTCTGCGTATTACATCCGCTGTCTTCTTCAGAGGTTTCCCATCAGCAAGAGGGAACGAACAGATGTGCAGCCCACCAACAAAAGTGGCAGGTCTTTTGCTGCAGAACCTGGTAAATGTCAATGTCTGCGTATAAATTAGTACTGTGAATTGAGTTACACCAATGCAGATGTTATAGTTATTACACACTCTAAATAAGAAAAAAAAAAAAAAAAACTGAAAAAATGGTCTGCTCTGCCCACTGTCTTTTAAAATTATTCATGACTCTTTTCTCTATGGGTTACAGGAGGG